CAGGGGGCCCAGAGAAGCTGTGGCTGCCCCATCCCTGGCAGTGTTCAAGGCCAGGTTGGACACAGGGGCTTGGAGCAACCTGCTCTAGTGGAAGGTGTCCCTGTCCGTGGCAGGGGGTTGGAGCTGGATGAGCTTCAAGGTCCCTTGCAACCCAAACCAGTCTGGGATTCTATGATTCTGTGATACTGGCTGATCTTGCCGAGCTCCCTCTACAGTCAGCAGACACCAGCAAGGACTTGCCAGGTGTGATCCCTTCAGCTTGGCCTGGAAAAGTCTGTTTTTCCCCAGTGATCCTAAGGCAAGACTGGGTGCAGTGGAGGTGGCTGCTTTGCAGGCATCTGCCCTGAGCAGATGAGTCCCATCCTTTGATATTGTTGCAGTGTGTCTGAGGTTTAATTGAAGTCTCATGTCACTCTCTACTCAGATTTTTAGTGTAGCTCCATCCTTGAGATTTTATGGCTCTGCTCGAAGCTGATGGTCCTTCTCAAACCTCCTGAGCACAGTATTTTGCACTGATGAGCAAAGTAGAAGCAGGGTACCAGGAGACAGCATTTTGTTTCCAGCCTCGATAGTCTGCTAGCAGTGGGGAGAGATGGGGGATTAACAAAAGAATTTTCCCATCATTAGCTCCAAATTCAGCCTCAGAAAACTTTCTGTAATCCTTTCATCTGTTACATAAAAAAAGTGCAGATGGCCTCTGGGCCTGTGGATGAGGCAATCGGATCTAGTGCAATGATTCTGGAAGAATGCTTTCAGAAATTCTGGGTGCTGTTTGTTTTACCCTTATAGAGATGTTGTTTTCTCATTGTGACATGCCTGCATGAGAACAAGGCCCTCGGTGACACGTGGACAATATTGGTAGCTTGCAAAATGTGTTGTGTTTGGCATTGTTACCATCCTGCTCTCCACTTGGTGCACGCCATTGAGGATGGGTTCCTTGACTTCTGGCTCCTTTCAAACTCATGCCAGAGCATAAATATGTTCATAAAGAGATAAGCTGCAAAACCAGAGCGCTGCTAACATCTTTTTACTGGTCAAGAGAATGCTGCACACAGCCAGAGGGAATATCCCAGATGTTCCTAACCCAAATGGATCATTTTAAGTAAACAGTCTCTCAGAATGATGCTTTAATGACATGGTTATGTAACATTTTTAATTTCTTGTAAAAATCAAATTTCTAAAACCAACCAAAAATTGAAGCATTTTGGTTTTTGTTTTTTTAATAACTGCAAATAGAGGTTTCTGGGTCACCTCTGCTCATGGTGGGTGGCACACAAGCCTCAAGGTGGACTCAGCCCAGCCTCTCATTTAGTGCCAGCTCAGTAGTCAAAGCCTGAGACTTGCCTGGTATTGGATTTTGTCAAACTGACACACCTCATCAAAACAGCTGAGAGAGCTGGGCTGGGTCAGCTGGAGAAGAGAAGGCTCCTGAAGGGGAGACCTTAGAGCAGCTCCACTGCCTAAAGGGACTCCAGGAAACCTGGCGAGGGACTTTGGACAAGGGCCTGTAGGGACAGGCCAAGAGGAATGGCTTTAACCTGCCAGAGGGGAGATTGAGATGAGCTCTGAGGCAGAAGCTCTTCCCTGTGAGGGTGCTGAGGCGCTGGCACAGGGTGCCCAGAGAAGCTGTGGCTGCCCCATCCCTGGCAGTGTTCAAGGCCAGGTTGGACACAGGGGCTTGGAGCAACCTGCTCTAGTGAAAGGTGTCCCTGCCCGTGGCAGAGGGTTGGTACTGGATGAGCTTTGAGGTCCTTTCCAACACAAACCATTCTATGAAAATGCAATTTAGAGAATGGAGCCCTGTTCTAGCTGTTGCTCTATACATACACAGAGAGTCAAAGGGAGGGAGTTGAAGTATTCTTGGTGATGCAGAGACTTGTTGAAAACAGTGTAAGCAATTCCTGTGCAGTGGGGCTGCGATTCACCTCCTAGGGCAGCATGCCCCTGCGAGTTGAGTGCCCAGTCACTTTGTGTATGTACAGTAAAATGCTTCCCCTAAAGACTCTGTT